CTTGAGTATCTTTCCGCCCTTTAAAACCTCAACTTTTGCTTCACTAATTTCAAGATTTTCGATATTTCCACACACAAAATTTGAGTAGTTTCCAATCATCACAAACACTTCTTTGACGTCACCACACTTCACCGACAGATTTTTTTCCAAATTTTGTTTTCCGATGATTTCGAGTTTTTCAAGATTAAAAATAGTTCCGTCGAAATTTGAAGCAATTTCTCGAATTTGCAATGTGTTGTTTCTGTAGATGAAACTCTCGAAGAATGAGACTCGGCCAATTTCTTTGTTTTTAGAGACAAAAATTATTACTTTTTCAGTTGAAGAATTTCTCTGTTCTTCGATAACACTAAAGACATTCTTTTTGAGATCCAAATTACATTGAAAAGTGTTCTTATTCGTTAAGCCATTAATTATCATAGCTACTGAATTTGTGTTACACTCTAAATCTGAAAGCTTTTCATTATCGACAAACAGTGTCTTACCAGTGTACGTTCCAGTTACGGACAGATTTTCAAGTTTGCACCCCGTCGTTACTACGTCTCCGTAGACATCCTTCATATTGAGACTCTTTGTAGTCAAAGGGAGAGTCAGTTCCCCGACTTTAGTCTTTCTCACATTGACGTATTCAATATATTTTGCACCCCACACAAACTTAGGATCTCTTAAATCGCACTTCTCGGCTTTGCACTTTTCGTACGCGTTTCTTGTGTCTGCAAAAATCGTCAATTCCTGCGGAAGACACTTCGCGAGGGTCAGCGACAGACACTCGGCGTCGAGGAGATATTGGTGGACTTTGACCGTCACTACACTCCGCTTTTCATCTCCGCAGTGCGTCTCGAGCATCGGAAGATACTCCACTTCTTGTGTCTCTTTGGATAAGTAAGTGACGTGGAATGTGACGTTTTTGTAGTTCTTTTTCATCTCGTCGACTTTTTTCATTGGAATATCAAAACTGTTACACCCGCAGGAACAGTGTAATTGAATGTCATATTTTGTTGTTTCCATTGAAGAGAAGTCGAAGTCGAGGAGAAAAGTGAAAGTAATTGGGGAGACACTGATACTCACCGTTTTCAGTGTTTTTTGGGAAAGCACTTGTTCAATATTATTTCGTTGGGTACTTGACGTATTATAATTTATTATGAGATGGCGTAGATTTTCATAGTTCATAATGTTCTCGGCAAGTGTTGGCAACTCACTGTAAAATACTTTTAATGTGGTGATTTTAGACGCAAACCACTTTGTTGCCAATTTGCGAGGAGTTGTATCATACATATCACTTGGAACAAACTCAATGTTGGGTATTGGGGTTTGTTTCAGGCCAAAAAAGTCCTTTAAATCAGAATTGATGAATAGGGTTTGAAGTTTGGGAAAAAGTGCATTAAGCTTGTATATTGAGGTTTGAGACGAAAGAGCATATGAATTAATATATAAAGTGTTTATAACAGATGTTGTCGATCGGTTAATACAAAGAAAATTTAAAACGTCTGAGATGGTAGAAAGATATAACACTACATTTTTGAGAAATACGGATTCAAGTCGGGTCATTTTAATTAATATAAAGTTCAGTAACTTTATATTGTGAAACTGGATGTTAAAAAAATTAAAGCCGAAAAAAATCTATTCAAAATGTTATAGTAAAAAATAATAAAACTAATCATTTTTATTAGTTCCATTTTTTTTAAATATTAAATATGAGTTGTCATTTTTTATATTT